ATATAGCAGTGGAGACCTGCTAGGGATTAACTCTGGTGGATTGGATCTGGCCCATGGGCCAGTATTTGCCCATTCCTGGACTAGATGATCCCCTAAGGTCTCTTCTAACCCTAATATTCTATGATTAATTTGTTTATATGAAGTATGTCATATAGCCATATAAGCCATTCTTAGTCTGAAGGGGTTAGGAAACCAGTTCATTTCTAAAAACAAACCAATTCATTTGGCTGAACTTGTATGTTGTGACGTGAATTATTATGTTTAAACTTCTCAATGCCTTTGGGCTAGTTTAAAACTTACAAATGCATTCAGGACTATAACAAATGTTGCAATCATTTTACCACTAACAAAAATTCAGAATGGAGTCATTTTAATCTCATTTTTTGAACTTGCAACCTTTTTCTTCACTAAAATATCTGCAGTACATTAGGTACTTTTAGTAAGATTCTTCCTCCACCTCTCAAGGGAGAGAGAGTTCCAAATGACTGCAGTTTGGACCTATTAGCACGTCCATTATCCACTCAAATGCTGTCAAGTCCATTCCTGTCAATACGCAAAACATGCAGCTGCATGGGGCACCATGAAATCTGGGGTACCAAACTGCCCCAAATTTCATGGTACCCTATGCAGCTGCATGTTTTCCATATGTGCTCTGGCAGCCCCCAGCCATATCTCCTGGCCAGCTTTTGTCCCCTTTTCCTGCCTGGGCTCTGTGCCCAGCCCCCACTCACGAGGCAGCAGCAAGCAGTGTGAGCATGGGCCAGAGGACTCAAGAAGAGCAATAGACAGTCGCATAGCCAATGGATGGAGAGAAGCATCGGTTTCACCTTCAAAGCGCCACTTCTCTCTGGCTGATGGCACAGCCACCCTCTACTGCTCCTGAGTCCTCCAACTGTGCTCACATGACTATCACTACCCTCGCCTCCTACCTGCTTCCCATTATACTGCAGGTGAGCCTTGCACTCTGCACTGCTCCTACAGCTTCTGCCCCTAGAACCTGCCCCAGAGGAGTAGACAGTCCCTCCCCCCTGCAGGGGAGTGACAGTGATGGGCTATGTAGGGTACCAGTATCGATAGGGATGGCCCAGAACACTGTGTATGAGTTTGCAGTTTAGTAATGGAAAGTAGACTTGAGTCATTTCCTCCCTTCATCAGTGTCAGTTTTTTCTACTGCTGCAGTAACTCCCCTTTAGTTTCTCCTCTCCATTCATCTTACTCCTGCAATCTCAAAATTACATGGTCAGTTTTCCATAGGCAAGCTGGCATCATTCCAAAATGCCTTGTTTCTTTATCACAATTGGGGTAGTACTCAGAACATCATTTTTGCTGTGACAATCAGAAGCAAAGCATTCTGGGTCACATCGACAAATTGGAGGGTGGTGGGAAGTGAGCTAAGAAGTTCTGCATTAGAGCTCAGAGGGAAGCTGCCAGAGATATGTAAGTGATGGGAGTAGAAGGAAGTGGTGGACATAAAGGAAGCGATTGAAAGAGAAATATTACTTAAGCAGACTCAGGAGAGTGCAGAAATAGGTTTGAATTGGGTAGGACAAAACACTGCCCTTCTATTTGACTATTTTGATAAGCAAGTTGTTAAATATTGACTAACATAAGCATAAAAATGACAATATAAAATATGACTAAAAATGCATTCAAATATTATAAAATAAATATTTCTCCCAAATAGCACTTTGTGAACTATTCCCCTGCCCAACACTGACACTGCGTCGTTAAAATGTCAATTATTCTATTTGTTAATATTCTTCCCTATTCCTCTGTCCACAGTTATTGCCTTCCCATACTTTTTTTCTATCTGAATATGAAGTTACACCTTTTACCACAGATTTTTGTTTTAAAGCAAATTTACATAAAGATACAAAAACACATTTGTTTAGTCAGCAGATAATTAGCTCCAGTCTTTTTACTGGTGAAATATTTAACTTCATTTAATAAATGTCTATTTATTAACATTTTCCAAATGCCTCTCTCTCATCTGTATTTATGTCATCCATATGTCTGTCAACATGAATGCAAATTTTCCAGATACTGGGAGTAAAATGCAACATATATAAAAAAACAAAAAGGAAATATTTAAATATATGGTATATACAGCAGATCCAAACACATACTTCATTTGGGATTAGAAGTACACAATAAGACAGCAGAAGGGGGAGGAAGCAAAATCAGCATGCTAAACAGAAAAAAATAAAGGGAGAGCAGCGTTTTTCTTCTGCTTAGTCAAGTTTCAAAGCTGTATTAAAGTCAATGTAAATGGTTGACAAGGTTTTCCCTTCACCCCTGAAGCTGCTACAATTCTCTGGGACACTTCCACGTGGCCTCCTTTCATTCAACACCTCCTTCACCCTTATCTTAGGGCTTCCTTTCCTGTAGGTTGTTGGTACTTGTCCTTCCCAGTTCTCTGGTGACACTTCATTGGGCTGTTGATCGCTAGCTGTTGAGCTGGATGATCTAGCCAGTTTTCTATCCACTTTAGAATCAATTTTTCCAATCCATACATCTTTAACTTGCTGTCAAGAATACTGTGGGAGACCATATCAAAAAGCTCTGCTAAAGTCAAGGTATATCATGACCATCGCCTTCCCCAGATCCACAGAGCCAGTTACCTTGTCATAGAAGGCAATCAGGTTGGTCAGGCATGAATTACCCTTAGTGAATCCATGTTGAGTATTCCTGATCACTTTCCCCTCTTCCAAGTGCTTCAAAATGGATTCATTGAGGATCCTCTCCATGATTTTTCCAGAGACTGAGGTGAGGCTGTCTGGTCTGTAGTTCCCCAAATTCTCCTTCTTCCCTTTTTAAAAGATGAGCACTAAATTTGCCTTTTTCCAATCGTCCAGGACTTCTGTGATCACTAAGAGTTTTCAAAGATAATGACCAATGGCTCTGCAATCACATCAGCCAACTCTCTCAGCATCCTGGGATGCATTTGATCTGGCCCCATGGATTTATGTATGTACAACTTTTCTAAATAGTTCTTTCTAAATAGTACCTGTTCTTTCTCCACTGAAGGCTGCCCACCTCCTTCCCATACTATGTTGCTTAGTGTAGCAGTCTGGGAGCTGACCTTGTTTGTGAAGACAGAGGCAAAAAACCATTGAGTACTTCAGTTTTTCCCACATCATGTCACTAGTTTACCTCCCTCATTCAATAAGGGTCCAGCATCTTCAATGACCACCTTCTTATTGCTATCATGCCTGTATAAACTTTTCTTGTTACCTTTCACATCCCTTGCTAGTTGCAATTCCAGTTGCACTTCGGCATTTCTGATTACACCCCTACATGGTCAAAGCAATATATTTATACTCTTCCCTAGTCATGTGTCCAATTCTTGTAAGCTTTCTTTTTGTGTTTAAACTTGCCAAAGATTTCACTGTTAAAGCTAGTCACCTACCATATTTGCTTTTCTTACAACATAGTGGGTTGGTTTGTTCCTGTGCCTTGAATAAGGTTTCTTGAAAATACAGCCAGCTCTTCTGGATTCCTTCCCCTCTCATGTTAGTATCCCAGGGGATCCTGCCCATCAGTTCCCTGAGGGAGTAAAAGTCTGCATTTTGCTTCTCTCCTTTCTTCCTTTAGTGAGGATCCTAAACTTAACCATCTCATGAGCACTACTACCCAAGTTGCCACCCACATTTATTTCCTTTACTATGTCCTCCCTGTTTGTGAACAGCAGGTCAAGCTGAACATGGCCCCTGGTTGATTCCTTCAGCACTTGCACCAGGAAGTTGTCCCCAACATTCTCCAAACACTTCCTGGATTGTCTGTGTACTGCTGTATTGGTCTCCTAACAGATGTCAGGATGACTGAAGTCCCCTATGAGAACCAGGGCCTATGATCTGAAAGTTTTTGTTAGTTGTCTGAAGAAAGCTTCGTCTACCTCATCCACCTGATCTGGTGGCCTATAGCAGACATCCATCATGACATCACCTTTGTAGCTCCTGCCTCTAAACTTAATCCAACGACTCTGTACAGGCTTTTCTCCCATTTTATACTGGAGCTCTGAGTAATCATACTGCTCTCTTATATACAGTGCAACTCCTCTACCTTTTCTCTCCCGCTTGTCCTTCCTGAACAGTTTATACCCTTCCACGACAGTGTTCCAATCAAGTGAGTTGTACCACCAAGTCTCCGTTATTCCAATCAAATCATAATTCTTTGACTGTGCCAGGACTTCCAATTCTTCCTGCTTGATTCCCAGGCTTCCTGCGTTCGTGTACAGATACCTTAGATAACTGATTGCCCTTTCTGAGTACAAATCAGGGGTCCTTCTCTGTTGCACATTCCTCCTTGTGCTCCAGGCACATTCCTCAGGGCTTAGGTCACCATCCCCCGATTAACCTAGTTTAAAGCCCTCTTCACTATGTTTGCAAGCCTTTGTTAGATGGATCCCATCTCTTCCTAAAAATCCTTTGCCCGGAACAGCATCCCATGGTCAAAGAATCCAAAACCCTTTCTCCAACACCACCTGCACAACCACGCATTTACTTCCAAAATTTGACAATCCTTATCTAGGCATTTTCCTTCAACAGGGAGGATGGATGAGAACACAACTTGCGCCTCAAACTCCTTGATCCTTCTTCCCAGTGCCACAAGCTGCAGTGACCCCTCTCAAGGTCATTCTTGGCAATATTGTTGGTTCCTACGTGGAGAAGTAAGAAGGGATAGCGGTCCAAGGGCTTGATCAGTCTCAGAAGACTCTCGGTCACATCCTGACTTCTTGCTCCAGGCAGGCAGCACACTTTTCGAGTTTCCCAGTCTTCACAGCAAATGGATGACTCCATTCCCCCTTAGGAGGGAGTCCCCAACCACCATCACCTGCCTCCTTCTTTTGGGAGTGGTGGTCGTGAAACCCCAATCTCTATGATTATGCATCCCTGCCTTCTGATGAATGGGTTCTCCTTCTGATCCCGTCCCTTAGAATTCTCTTCTAAAGCATTCTCCACCAAAGTACCAGTGCAGAGTGCCTGAAATTGGTTACTTACCTCTATCTGGATTGGGGATACCTGAGTTAACTTTCTTCTCCTGGAGGTCACATGCTGCCAATGTTCTTTCCCGTCCTGCACTGCCCTCTTTGGTTCTTCAGTATCCTGTGCCTGCAGTATCAAATGCTGACTTGTATCCAGAAAAAGATAGATTTCAGAGATTTCATTCTCAATCCCAATTTTTTAAATTGTAGTTGGGCCATAAAAATATATTCAATGAACAATATTGTAAGTCCTTAGGCAGAGAATAGTTAATATATTATGCACAATTTCCTCCTCAATTCCCAAAACCCAATAATCCTTGGTGCTGATTAGAAGCTGTCAGATACTTCTTGGAGCTTTGAAAGGGGAGAGAGGGGCATATGCCTGGAGGGCAGCAGGTATCAAAGCTGAGCAGAGCCATTCAGGAAAGACATTGTAGGATCCTGCTGGAAGTGAGTTCTGTCCACAAAACAAACTTCAGTTTACACTGGCTCTTTGTTGACAATAGAGGGAGAGGAAAAGAAAAAGCCTCTTTGTAGGGGTCGAAGACTTTTGCCACTTTGCACTGTGTATGCTTTCCAGGTTTTGTTGTTAAAAAGGGGTTTTGGTGACAAAACTTGCCATTGTAGACAAGGCCTAAAAGACTGACCTGCAGAAGTCACAGCTGTGATGCCTCACATCCCTCCCCCCACAAGCTTTATGAAATGGATTTATGGACATAGATATGCCTAACTCAAAGAAGTTTTGGACAAATTATCTCATGTAACCTATCAATCTTTATGTCATATTCCAGTGGACCTATATATCTTATTTTGGGGTATGTATCATTCCTGTGTATAAAATCAGACAAGTGGAGTATGGAATGCTTTATAGTTTTAGATGTGCAAAAGAAAGTCATCAAGGGTGTTTCCAATGTTGGGATGCCTCAGTGTCTGGACAATCATATCTAAACAATCTCCTTTGTCCTCTAAATCTTAGCAGTCCGTGGTCTTAGGAAGTCACATGACCTCTTTACCTAGTAGAGAATTGCCAGGTAACTTCCCATGTAAAGGGAATCTATAAAACAATTGAGAGCTTAGCAGGGTTTTTTTCACACCCAAGAAAGTGAACAAGAAACCCCAGGGTAAAGGAGATTTCCCTGGTTTGGAGACTTAGCTGGAATAACAACAATTTTAGGATGAGTTTGTAATAAATGTATACTGAGATTTTAGTGTTCGAATTAGCTAAGCATTTTCTGTTATTTTAAGCTTGTAATCTTCTTTGCTCTGCCTGTTCTCTCTTATAACCACTTACATCCTACTGCCTGTACTTACTAAAATCACTTTTATTTACTATCAAGCCCAGTGTAAATAATTGTTACCTGGGGGAACAATCAGTGTGTACATCGTCCTTTCACTGTTAAAGGGGGCTTACCCCAGTTATTCATTTTGGGTTCTGATTCCATTTGGAGAGTGGTATCCTAGGAAGCTGGGGCCAAAAATGCATTTTCCTTGGACCTGAAGAGTTTCAGTATCTGTACTGCTCCTCGGGGTGGGGGGTGGGGAAGTGATCTCAGCTCTGTGCCTTAACTGGGGGAGACCAGGGGGCTGGCCCGCAAGACAGGTAGCAAGACACCCCAGAGAGCAGGAAGACAAGTGGCAGTGGCCTTGTCAGCATCCTGGGAAGCACCCAAGAAGTCTTCTGTGACCTCACCCCTCACAACAGCAAAAAGGCAGGTGGCAACAGAAGGGGGCAACTCCAGCCCTCTCTCACCACAGCAGCTTAAGGCCAGATGAGAATTGCCTGTGCATGGCCGCTACAGTTGCAGCAGGCACAGCTGGGGGAGAGATGTATCTCCCCCAGCAGGGGGACAGGTAGAGACACAAATGGAGAAACTCCATTGAATAAATAGTAGATAGTTGTCCCTTTCTCCAATGGAATTATAGCTGTTCCAGTCCCCATATCTGGCCCCTTGCTGCCCCGCGGTGGTCATTATAAATTGTAAGTGTCCCTGCTACTTTCCATTCTAGGCACATCCCATTGTCCTGGCACAACCAAACCCCTACCTTGCTTTTAAGTTATAAGAGGAATCTGCATACCAAATTTGGTGGTCCTGGTTCTTATAGTTTAGGAGAAGCTCTTAGACACATAGACAGACCCTCTCAAATATACAGTAGAAATAGTTCTAATTAGGCCATTAAGCTACTGTTTTGCTTTACAACCTAATGAAGTAATTTTAGACTAAGTTTAGAAAATATGTTACCTTTCTATCAGTGACACTTTTTTGCCTGGGAAGCAGGACAGAAGCTATAGGAGCCTGGGAGGGGCTGACCCAGAGAGTTGGAAGTAGATCTTGGCTGACTTGCGGGCACAGGGGCAGGTGAGGGATTAGAGCTCTGGCTCCTCTTACACCAAGATGGATTTTACTGAAAGTTTTTTGTGCTGACAAATTAAGTTCTATGCTGTGTCCCTGTCAACTAATAAATGCTTCTGTTCTACATGCTGGCTAAAAGTCACTGCTGACTGTGGACAGGAAGTGTAAGGCCCTCTTACTTCCCCACATTGGTGTGTTGTAATAAAAATGGTAGAACAAAATCATCTCTTAAAAATTAGATTTTTAAATCTAAATAAACCCTCATGCCAGAGCTACTGACTACATTTTAGCCACTGTGAAAAATTTGCTAATAAAAGAAAACGCTGACAACTTTAATTACAGTCACTAACACAACACAACTGTGCTAAACCTGGTTTCTTTCAAACCAAATTGAAAAAAGATAAACTGAATACACAGTAAAGAAACCAAGGAATTTGATCTGTCATTCTCCAAGTATGTTAGTGGGAAGTCTAGGCTCCTACATTATTTTGCTTTCATAACATTCTCCAGGAAGTAATACAGCCTCCTTGAACAGTGAAAGGAAAATTCCCTGTTGGCTTGAGTTCTCAGGAGAGAATTTTGCCCAGGAATTTTTTATTTTAATTTTTAATTTGCGTGAGGCAGAAGCTAGCCTGACAACCTCTGCAGTATTTGTTCCCCACAAGTTTGACCCAATGGTAAAGGTCTTATAAAACACAAAAATAAAGAAATTAAAACATTTGTGCCAGAGCTGATAAGCAACCTTTTAACGTTGTCACAACTAAGTTCACCTTCATTTAAAATAAGAAGAGAGGTTTCATGATGATACCCTCGGGCAAATGTGAAGATGGGACAGGCAGAAGGGCTTTGCCTTCAGGAACAGCAGCATTTAAAGAAATTCTCTGGCATTTCCCGCACAGCCAGGGAGGGTAGTAGAGCTGTTCCTCCTAGCACACGAGCCTCCCTGCACTTCTCAGCAGCTCCTGGCAGTCTGCATGACGCTCCTCTCGTTGCAACTGACCATTTTCAACCTTGCGAACAGAAACACGCGACTTGCCCGACCAGCCTGCAGTTATCCCGCAGACGCGAGGAGCCTCAACTTGACGAACTAGCCCGAGCCAGCGGCGGAGGGGAAGGGGCATTTCCCATTCCCAGGGTGTCCTCGAGCTCCCTCCCTCCAGCTCCAGGCCGAGCCCCACCGCCTCATTCCCACCCTGGCAAAAGAGCGCGGGGCCCAGTGGGCAGCCCACGCAGGAGGGCGGGCGCAGGGCCCGGCAGCGCTCAGCTCCAGCGCACACCAGTCTCTTCCCAGCCCGCCGGGCCAAAGTCTCTCGACGTGCCCCAGGGGCGAACAGAGCCCTGCAGCGAGCGGCCCAGGCTGCAGCCCAACCCTGCACGGGGGGCCTGACGGCTCCCACCTCCCCACTGAGGCTGCAGTCGGACCCGGTTCCGGGCAGCGGCCCCTTTCCCCAGGCCGGAGTCGGTTCGCGGTCTCGTGCCCGTCCCGGTGGCCCTTACCCGGGGGCGCGCTGTCTGCGCGGGACCGCAGACTCGGCGCCTCCGCCAGGGAGGCCGGGCTCTGGCCAGAGGGAGGGAGAGGAAGGAGCCAGAGACGGCGCACAAGGCAGGAGGTTGGCGCTTCCTCTGCTCTCGGTCTCTCTCAGCCCGGCTGCAAGGGAGGGCACCAGGCGCCGCGGCTGCAGCCTCACAGGCCGAGCGAGGGGCCAAGCTCGGCAGCCTAGACCGCCGCGGGGGAATTTTATCTGAGCGTGGCCAGACTCAGCTGGAGCCAGCCCTGCGAGGGACACAGTAACAACATGCAGGCAGCGTTTTCCCGCATTTAATTTACCTTTTTAGCAAAGTTGAGAGTCCTTAACGTCTCGCTTTTGCACTATGTGACGGTCTAGAACCCCCTTTGAACAAGGCAAGCTTTAGAGTGCTTGAGGGTGTAATTTTCAAATTCAGAGCCAAAATGTCATTGAACGTCAATAGAAACTTAGAGGCCTAAAGCCTTTAAAAAATAAATCGACCTAGCGATGTTGCTCAGAGCTGTAAAAAATGTTGTAGGCTGGGTGCCATAGCTGGATCAGGCTAATCCTCCATTGAGACATAGCAAGTGTCAGATATATTCCTCCTTCTAGTTACCACCTTGGAGAAATGAATTCACTGTTACCAGGGAAAAATACTTTCCATCACTATAGGAAACAAAATCATGGTGCTACAGTAGAACAGATGCAGCGCCATTCCTGGTGTAGCCATACCTTCAGTTTCTTTGGATATGGGGGACTCCCACACCAGTTAACATTTTCAAGAGCACTTACGTGTCCAACTTTGTGTCAACAGCTATAATCCCATGGCTAGGTTAACCATATGCTTACAGACCTTTCTGAATCAACCTTAGCTAACGTTGGGAAGTTAGATATGTGAGTCATAATTAGGGTTATAAAAAAATCATTTAAAAATGTAGCCATTAAATATCTTCTCGGTTTTACAGTTAACAGTTAGTTTTGCCTGGGGATGTACAACGGCCAGTTTCGGACTCTATAACAGGAGCTGGCAGGCTCAGTCTTGGTATGCACTGGATCCCGGCAGCTCACCCTGCTCCTGGGCTGCTCCAAGTTCAAATGCAGAGCCACAATAGAGACTGCTCAGGAGTAGGACCAACTCCTGTGACCCGGTGCATACCAGTACTGAGCCTGCCTGCTGGCTCCAAGTTCAGATGCAGAGCCATAGTAGGGGAGAGGGCAGCCAACTCATCAGACAGGCAGCATTTAACTGATAACGTTAACTGAGATAAGCATCAGCTAAGGATGTTAGAGTTAAACCAGTCAACAGATAAACTGACATCCCTAGTCTGAATACATGCTTTTGAAAGGGGCAAAAATATTGCAGGCTTATATTGAGGAAATGAGAGATTCCATATACCTCAGATCACTTTAACCATCCTGCTCAAAACCGCTTAAGTGACAAATGGCAACCTTTAGTCCCAAACAAGCATCGAGGCTGTTCCCTGACAATGCAAAATAGTACCAAGAAAGTGGTGGCGATGCAGTGGGGCTAAGGTAGGCTCACCCCTGCCCTGGCCCTGCACCAGTCTCAAAAGCAGCCAGCAAACTCCCTCCATCCCAAGCCGTGTTGTTCCCCTGCTCTGTGGAGATAAGATACAGGGTGAGAAAGGGGGCACCTTGACATTAGTGCTTCTCTTCTCCCTCCCCTGCCCAGCAAGCAAGAAGCTTCTGGGGGTGGGAGGAGGCAGCTCCAAGGCAAAAGGCAGGAGATGTGCAGGAGTACGGGGAGGGGCTGTTGAAGTGCTGGCACTTGATAATCTCTTGGCCAAACGAGTCAGGATCACCTGTCAGAAGCTCCATAATCTACCAGTGTTGGAACTGAAAGTTTTCTTTTTATATTTGTATTTTAGGTTTAGTAATAGTTTAATAATGTAGCAATAATATAGCAATATAAGGTATATATATTAACATACATTTAATATTTTATTAAATTAAGTCCTTTTAGTTAAATGTCTATTTCTTTGTCCTAAAGTTTAGTAAAAAGATAGTTTTGATATTGCATCTGTGTTAATGAAACTAAAAGGATGTTGAAGGCTGAGGCCTTAATTGTTTGATTTACAACGCCTCTTTGTCTTACCAATGCAGATGTTGATGTTGTGCCACATAACCTTGAGAGCCCTTGTAACATTGCTTATGTGTGTGAGAAGGGAATGAATGTGTCGAGATAAGGTGCAAAAGTTATTGCTCAGAACCAGATGGCCAAAGAGGGAGGTTAAGCATGGGCAAGGACTAGACTACAGATGACCCGGTGTCAAAAATGTGTACTCATACTAAGGAGTGATTGAACTATTGGCAGAGTGGCAGATTGACGAACCTTGAAGTGAAGCTGGCACCCTCAAAAGATGATTGACTACAGGATGAGCCTTCAAGAGATGTTTGGGAACGACTGACATCAACAAGATAACATTCTGGTCACAGGCTGACAGAGCAGAAACCATTGATTTCAACAGAGAAAAGGATTATAAAAGCAGGGTGCTTTGAAATGGAGCTTTGGGTTTGTCTTGCCACCAACTCCAGAAGAGCATCAGATTGATCGACCGACAAAGGCCCTGCTCTCCCTGTGTGTTCAATCTAGCTGGCCACTAGACTGATACAGAATCTGGACTGGTAACTATAACATTGTCTGGCGGGACTGTATGTGTGTATGGTGTTTGTATGTGAGTGATTGAAAAGCATATGCAACTGTTGTATTCTCAATAAATGCGGCGTACTGCCTTTTCCCCTATAAAAGATCCTGTGTGCTTCGTTTAAGCAGATAGCACCAGTAGATCCGGATCTACTGGTTGGTGACCACTACTCTACAGTGTAATAAACAACCCAGACCCAAACTCCACAGGCCCTCTAAAATGGGAAGTCTGGAACACTGTTAGGTGTATTATGCCTGTATGAGAGAAGACACAGGATACTGTACTACACAAGGGACAATGGGACAGATGGAGTATGGACACCTTCCACTTTTATACCTGGCCCTATCAGCAAGTGTGTCACCCTATGTCCTATGCTTTTCTAGGAATACCTGAGCAGGAGAATCCCAAGAGAAAAGAAAAAAAGGGGGAGTGGAGTGTTATAAAGCAGGCCTGAATATCTTTAAAAAATAGATAATATCCAGTCTGTCTGAGGCCTTGTTCTTAAGCTAAGTCTTTTTGCACATTCCAAACCAATCCAAAGCATTCATATTGAAATAAGGCACATTCCAACAATTTGAGGCTGTTACCTAGAGCTTCCAGATAAAGGAAAGAGCCTAGAAACTTAGGCTGAAAGCTTTCTGTTTGTAACAAAAATGTCATTTTAAATTTGCCACCTTTCAGTTTCATTTGGTATCCTCTTGCTCCCTGGATTTTAAAAAGTATCCCATTTCTAAATCACTGCTAAGTCCTTGCCTAGTCATTTCAAATAAACACCTAGCTTTTTCAATGTCCCTTCACCTGAATGATTTTCCAAACATCTAATCAATTTTCTTCCCAGTCCTGAATCTCTTCTTCTACTTCTGTTACAGTGAGGAGGAGCACTAGCATTGAATTCAGGCCAGTATTCAAGGTGGCATGCCTAATGGCTTTATGCTTATTATGGATCCTATCATTTTGATTTTTGTTAAGTGGAGATTTTTATATATATAAAATAATTGGTTTTCTCATTACTTAAAAAAGATTTGGTCATCAGTACATTTAAAAATGAGTAGACTCATTCAAATGATTTATCTTTTCAATACTGTTATCTTTTTCAAACACTGAATTTTGTACCTGCTAGTCTATTGCCCATTTACTCAGTTCCACTAGGCTTCTCACCTTCCTTACAAATGTCTTTGTCCTGACTTACCTCAATAACTGTGTCTGGAATTTTTGCTAACTTACTGCTTACCTTTTCTCATATCATTAATCTATAACAATGACATGGTTTCAGACTTTGGCTTTGACAGATTACTCTAGGTTCTACCGGACAGCACTACAGCTCTCATGTTCTCCTATGCCTTTATTTTATTTAAGAGCACTAGGTTTTGTGCAATTCATAGCCTTGCTACAAATGATATTGTCAAAGTCCTGTTCCAAAATACAAAGCAAACATTTTCCGTCAAAAAGCACAATCTTTCCAACCCTATGCTGGATTACAAAGCTCACTTATCTAGATTTAAGTAGCAAGGGCATTGCATGATGGAATCAAGTGAATTTGCAACGTTTCAAAAGGTATACATTTAAGATACTGAAATTCTGTTCCTAGAAAGATGCAAACTAATTAATACACAGGCCTCAGCAAAATTGCAGAAGATAATGGGAATACAAATGGGAACATTGCCAGCAGATCTGGGAAGGTGATTATTCCTCTTTATTCGGCACTGGTGAGGCCACATCTGGAGTACTGCATCCAATTCTGGGGCTCCCATTACAGAAAGGATACAGACGCATTGGAGAAAGTCCAGCAGAAGGCCACAAAAATGATTTAGGGAGCTGGAGCACATGACTTATGAGAAGAGGCTGAGGGATTTGGGCGTATTTAGGCTACAGAAGAGAAGAGTGAGGGGGGATTTGATAGCAGCCTTCAACTACCTGAAGGTTGGAGAGAGGCTGTTTTCAGTTGTGACATAACAGAATGAGGAGCAATGGTCTTAAGTTGCAGTGGGGGAGGTCTAGGTTGGATATTAGGAAAAACTATTTCACTAGGAGGGTTGTTGAAATACTGGAATGGGTTACCTAGGGAGGTGGTGGGATATCCTTCCCTAGAGGTTTTAAAATGCCAGCTGCATAAAGCCCTGGCTAGGAGGATTTAGTTGGGATTGGTCCAACTTGGCTTTTAGCAGGGGGTTGGACTGGATGACCTCCTGAAGTCTCTTCCAACCCTATACGATTCTATGAAAACGTTTATCATGCACATGCCTCCATTTTTATTTTTCTCCAAAGGCTAGATATTTTTCCTCCCA